CAGATTAAAACAGCCAGCAGATGTTTGGTGTCAATTTCTGACTTGATAAATCATACTCTGATGCTGCTAGAAAATCTGAGACGCACAGACCAGCACTGGTGATCACAAATAATGTGGTAGTGGCAGACGTTGTTTGAATAGAAAATGTGTTTTAAATTAAGTTTTAAAGATGCAGAGGTCAAGAAAGCAGGGTATGTAACATTAATACTTTTCTTGTAGACACTATCAGTGACACTCCCTGAGTCCTCCACAGTGAGGATTTGCTACAACAATGAAGCTACAAAAGAAAGCCACAGCAATTGAGAGTTGTTTCCCTGTTTCCCACTGAACTGATTTTGGTTAGGATAGAGTTAATTTTCTTCCTAGTAGTTAGTACAGTGTTGTGGTTTGAATTTAGTATGAGAATAATGTTGATAACACACTGATGTTCTAGTTGTTGCTGAATAGTGCTTACACTAGGTCAAGGACCATTCAGTTTTCCATCCTCTGCCAGTAATGAGGGCTTGAGAAGCCTTGGGGGAGCATGGCCAGGACAGCTGATGGAGACTGGCCAGAGGGATATCCCATACCACAGAGTGTCATGCTCAGTGTGTAAATGAGGGGAGTTGTCTGGCAGGGGCTGCTCAGGAACAGGCTGGGCATGAGTCATTGGGTGATGAGCAACTGTACTGTACAAGTTTTATTTCCCTTTTTTGTTGTTGTTGTTGTTGTTTTTGTTGGGTTTTTTGTTGTTTTTTTGTTGTTGTTTTTTGGGGGGTTTTTTTTTGTTGCCTCCGCTTGTGTGGTGGTGGTAGTTGATACTACTATATTTTATTTAAATTATTAAACAACTCTTATATCAACCCATGGGGTTTATCTTTTTTTCCCTGATTCCCCTTCCCATCCTTGAGAAGGATGGGGTGTGGGGTGTGGTAAGTTTGTGGCTGCTTGGTATTTAGCTGCTGTCTGTGGTTAAATAACAACACATCCCCACAGGGTTGTATATTAGGTGTCTGTTGTATCTTCATGGCTGAAAATAATCCTTCCAACAACCAACCTTTCTAGGTGCAACTGGCTAACTGTGCAGACAGGTCCTTGTCTCCACTCTACATGGCACTTTCAGATAGAGCAGAAAGCTTGGTTTGGCATTTGGTGTTATGCCTTATACAGGTTCAAAGAAAAATATGTCTGTCCTTTGCCCTGCACCCCGCTGGATGTCTGGAGGCAGCCCATTGCTGTTTTGCCAAAGTAGCATACTCCAGGAAAGGTCTGTCTGGGGGGACACCTTGCTTTCTCTCTATCACTGTAAAATTATTCAGAATGACAGATATTTCACACTGCAGGAAATCCTATTCCCAGCTCCTCACCCACCCCAGACCCACTGCAAGTGCTAAACTGATTGTTTTATGTAACTTGTTGCTTTCTAGGTCTTCATGCTGGAGACTCAGTGCTCCCCCAAAACCCCTAGCAACAAGGAAGGGTTTGAACATGCCCAGTCATGTGTGCTCATCATTGACCTGCCACCAGATAAGAAACCAAATGGGCATAACCAGAGAAGGTAAAATATCTTACAAGGAAGACACTGTGTCACTAAAAGCAAAATAAAAATACTGCTGAACAGGAAGAGATGTGAACTGAGCCTGGTAAATCATACCTCTCCATAGGGCTCATCAACAAAAATGAATGCACTGATCAAATTAGGTTTTGTGACACTGTTGCAGTTTTAGTGATAGCTAGCAAATGCAATGTCTGCTTCACTAAGGGTCTTTTAAATTCAGTATTACTTGGTTAAGAAGGTAGAAAAAGTGCTGGGGCATTATAAACTGAAAAGACCACATCCAAAACTGCAAAGCTGTCAACATTGAGCTAGGGAACGTGTTTTTTTTTTTGCTTGGCACATTATTTTTGTGGAAGTCTTTCTGTTATGTAACCACATGAGAATCTCATCTGTTTGCACTACAGTCTGATCCTGTGAAAGAATATTTCCTTTTGCTTGCACGTGGTTGTTTAAACAACTGCTGTACCATCATTTGGGCCAAGAATCAGAATTCTGCATTCAGGGTTTGTGTTTGTATTGCAAGGTATGTAATGGCATGAAATTGTCTTTTATGAGATACCAAACATGGTTTTACACCATTCAAATCTAAACTATTGCTTGCAGCAAGGAGCCAGAATGTGATGGTCCTTCTTTGGATGGACAGGAAGAAAGACCATGCAAGATGTCTCCATTCTTACACTGCTGTACAGAAGTTTTCCCCTGATAGCAGGTGCTCTGTTGCCTCACCATCAGAGAACAGGGTCCTGCACAGAGACAAAGAAAGCTTGAGGCCACAGGTTAAATCATACCTTAATACGGGAAAATATCTACTTTATCCAAAGGCTAGCAGGTCATTCTTCTTCTTACTATGAATGCAAAGCAAAAGACTGCAATATTCACCTCTCATAGCACCTGAGGCCATGCAGTCTAACAGTCTGTGATTGTAAGGGTAGCAAGGGTCTTGCTTGTCTTTAAACAGATAAATAAAGCTTGCAATTAATGCAAACTCTGAATGCTCTCACACTGCGCTTTGTACAACCAGCTGCTAAAGGTGTAAATGCCCATAGCCAAGTGTTATCCCAGCAATGCTCCTTTTTTCACCAAAACACAGCTCACAAGTTAACTGTGCCACTGTTTTCATATTATTTGCTACAGCAGTGCAGTAATATGGCAGTCATGCATGATAGTAAATGTGGCCTTTCCAAAAGTTTTGCTTTAACCTTAGCAGGGTTTCACTTCTCCCTTTTGGTTTTGTTTCCTTAATGCTGCATCGTTTCACAGGAAGCTGGGGTAAGGGAGCTTTTCTTCTTCATGAAAAGTAATCATATATTTCACTTTGAGACTTTGGACAGAGTAAGAAAATACTATCCTTAACCAGCTTTGGCATTGTGTTTTCACCTGTAGTTCTCTACCAGTTTCTTTTGGGATTGAGCAGTACTTTACACTGTCCTTGTAAATTGCTTTTTTGGCTATTACAAGGAAAGCAGATCTCCTTCATTCCTGACCCTGCTTTTGGAACAGGATTAATTGCTTGAAATCACTGCAAGCTCTCATTTAACTTTTTACATGCTCTTAAGAGCTTTTTTGAGTCAGAGCCTCTAATGATTTTTACAGAATAAAACTACTTTCCCATAAAGAGCTCAACTGTATGTGCTAATCATTAACATTTTATCACTGTCAAATAAAATAAGACTACTAAATTTTACTGAGGTATCAGCTGTGTTATGGTAGGCAAAGTGACACAGGGAATGTAACTGAATAACAGTTTTGCCTGAACTTTTTTTGAAATGTTGTATTCTCAAAACTTGGTTTTGATAGAATTTCTCAAAAAAAAAAAATAAATTGGCTTTTTGTCTTGGTATTCCCAAACACTTTTGACATTTTTTGCAACAAAAAAGTCAAAGATCTACAACTGAACTTCTCATGTTATGTGAAGATTTGCTTTGAATTAGACTTAAAACTTCAGTATTGGAAGAAAACTGAAAAATCCCTTCTTTACTTGATAGCTGTGCTAATCAAAACTTGACCCATCACATCAAACCAAGTATTATTATGTGCATCAGTTTCATTTAGAACATTGCCCTGTAATCTTACATAAAGACCTTAAGATAGGTTTATAATTTGAAATCCATGAGATACCAAACAACAATCCTGTCTTTTTTCCAAGCCTTGCTTGCCTGTAAGCCTCTCAGTGTTATTTACTGGTGAATGACCTGAAAACTTTGGTCAGAGGCATTTGCCATTCCTGTGTCCCCTGTGCAAATCAAAGATCAGTGAGGGCTAAAACAACTCCCAGCATCTCTCTAACAGGAGCACAGCTAAGAATCACCCAATATCATATGTGAGGAACAGGTTAGGAATAGATATGTCCATGCTAGGCTCTCAGTGTTCAAGCTGAAGTCTTAAGAGCAAGCAGTGAAATGTGCCTTCAGCCAGACTTCAGCTTCTTTGCATGCTGCATTGCACTGCTGATGTTTCTGTACATGTTTCTTTATTGGTTGGATACCTCTTCATGGTTTATTTTTAAGAAGTACTCCTGGGCATTAGTGAAAATGGAAACTGAGTAGTAGACTAGTTTTGGCCCCAATTTTTCATGGCAAAATAAAGGTTGTCTGACATGTTGGTGGAAGAATAATTTGTGTGTTAATAAATTCCTCAGAGATAGCAGGCTGAAATATCTGAGTGTGCTTTTATTCTTAGTACAACCACAATGCACCATTTTAATATTCTGTGATTTTTTTCCTTCCATGCTTGGTTTACCAAGTATTCCTTTCAGGACAATAGTGGTGAGCTTGCTGTCCCACCAAGTACTGCTCCAGAATTTATATGACATCTTACTGGAAGAATTTGTGAAAGGCCCTTCTAACTTGGAGGAGAAAATGGCAATACAAGTACCAGAAAACAAGTTGGCTGGTTTTCTCAGGTACATCTCCATGCAAAACCTGGCTGTCATCTTTGACCTACTCCTAGACTCCTACAGAACAGCCAGAGAGTTTGACACCAGACCTGGGCTGAAGTGTTTGTTGAAAAAAGTGTCTGGCATTGGTGGAGCTGCCAACCTTTATCGCCAGTCAGCAATGAGCTTCAACATCTACTTCCATGCCTTGGTTTGTGCAATCCTGACAAACCAGGAGAACATCACTGCAGAGCAAGTGAAAAAGATCCTCTTTGAAGATGATGAGAGAAGCACAGACTCATCACAGCAGTGTTCTTCAGAAGATGAAGACATTTTTGAAGAAACTGCCCAGGTCAGTCCCCCCCGAGGGAAGGAGAAGAGGCAGTGGAGGGCCCGAATCCCATCTCTGAGCGTCCAGCCGGTCAGCAATGCAGACTGGGGCTGGCTGATCAAGCGGCTTCACAAGCTCTGCATGGAACTGTGCAACAACTACATCCAAATGCACCTGGACCTGGAGAACAATGTAGAGGAGCCTCCAGTGTTCAAAGGTGACTCTTTCTTCATTTTGCCATCTTTTCACTCAGAGACCTCCACGCCATCAACTGGAGGGCTGTCTGGAAAGGACACACCATCAGAAGATGACCGAAGCCAAATCAGGGACCAGCTGGGAGACAGCTTGACACCTCGAGGAGGGAGTGGAGAAATATTGCTGCTACCCCCTCCCCTGAGTCCTAAACCAGAAAAAAAAGAGCAAACCAAGAAAAAAGAATGGTGGGAGAGTGCTGGTAACAAAATCTACACCATAGCTACTGACAAAACCATCTCCAAGTTTATGACAGAATACAAGAAGAGAAAGCAGCAACAGGCCATGACATCCTTCACCAAAGAGGTCAAAGTGGAAAAGAAAGGGGAACTCCTGGGTTCAAGAGGGCCAGACTCACCTGTACTCCAGCGGCCTCAACATCTTCTAGATCAAGGTCAAATGAGGCATTCATTCAGTGCTGGTCCAGAGATCCTGAGACAAGAGAAGAGACCCCGTTCAGGATCCACAGTCAGCTCCCTGAATATATCTATTAGGGATGCAGAGGCCCAGATACAGGTAGGACATTCTTGTAGAAGGTTAATAATAATAGCAATAAATAAAAACATACCTATACATTTTTTACATTATTATAATATTTTTTCTTAAATATTGTATTATATTATGAAGTCCTCATGATGAGGACTGGATGTTTAGAAGCTGGAATTAATAAAAACATGATTCTGCCCTATTAAAAGAAAGTCAGTTTTCAGGGAGGTGTCATCAGCATATGCTAGTTCAGCTGTCAAGAGTGCTTCTATGACTGGGGCCAAAGCTGCACTTAATCCTGAGAACTGACAACCTACAGCAAGCTCATTGCTTACTGCTATGGGCTGTAGCCCACTGAAGGCTTTTGAAAATGCTATGCTGCTTGTCACATTGCTTTTGTACTTAAGAATGGGATTTTTTGTTAATTCCAGAGAAAAATAATGGATTCTTTTGCTAAACAGAAGCTTGTTGTTTGCATGTCCAAATGAACAAATCAGTGAAAGCATCAACTTCACAGATTTTGTTCACTGTGGGACAAAAAAAAAAAGGAAAGGGTGAGCATGATACCTGCAATACAAAGTCAAGTGATTTAGGAACATTAAATTAATATGCTAGCATTTCTCAGTCTGCTTCATGGGGCTGCAGCCACCAGATACCTTATTTTCTGTCTCAACCACTAGGCTCACCTATTTAGAAAGGTCTTCTAAAGAGGTTTTTTTAAATCCAATTTCTTTGTAGGCATGGACCAACATGGTGCTGACAGTTCTCAACCAGATTCAGGCTCTGCCAGACCAAACTTTCACAGCCCTGCAGCCAGCTGTGTTTCCTTGTATCAGCCAGCTGACTTGCCATGTGACGGATATCCGTGTCCGCCAGGCAGTCCGGGAGTGGCTGGGAAGAGTGGGCCGAGTCTACGATATCATCATTTAAACCAATTTGTGCTCTCTTGCAAAGGGCAGAAGACATTCAAGGTATACAGCAAAGAAGCACTTGGGGTTCATTAATTGCCTATTTGTTGGTGAGAAATTAAGAAACAACGAGCTTGTCAATTTGTTTTGTCTATCCACCTGAGATTGTGTGTCCCTCACTCACACTAGCAAAGGAGGCAAAGCATGAGTCTGTTTAGAGGATCTGGCATGGCCCCAGAACCTGTCCCTAAACCAGGCTCCTACCAGAAGAGGTGCATTTCATAGCCTTCATTTTAATTCAAATTTACAGTGAGAGCCACTAGAAACTGCAGCAGAACTTCCACACTTGAACTTAGCTGTGAGTGCAACTGTCATGGGGGTGTCACACCAGGTCAGTAAACCTATTTAACTTAGAAAATAAATAAATAAATCCAAGTCAGTGAAAAGGTGGGGCTATAGGACAAGAAAGAAGGTGACATTTTTTAGGGTAACATCTTCCCTTCAAAAATTGGCATCAGAGAGGATAGCCAACTAAAGAATATTGTAGTAACTGTGTTGCTCACTAGAGAAAGTGGAAATTTATTTTGCTTCAAGAGGAGCCTTTGTAGTCACATTTGGAGTAGCTAAAGAATACCAGGTCTAAAATGGGTGAACCAAGCACAGACTATTCATCCTTTCATTGCTCTTATGGAGAGAAATGGCACTGTCAAACTGCCCTCTCTGCAACACCACCCTGGCTGCCTCTTCACCTATGCCTACAGCTGAGCATTTTGCCACATACCTAATTCCCTCTAAGGGAAAAAGGGAAGTTTGTTTTGCTCTTTCCTGTGAAGCTGTGGGGAAGACACACCACAGCAAATACCAGCATGTGCCAGTATCCAGCATTCAACTAAGCAAAGTGATCCAGTTTAAGCACCACTGCAACTATTATTCTACTGGAAATTTATGTTTGTTTATGTAGAGCTGTTGTAGCCAGGAGCACCCTTATCACCTTTGTTAAATGTAGCCTATCACTCCACTTGGAGCTGAAGCAAGATGGAAAATGGTATGAAAGGGGGGTATATTTTCTGTTTCTCTCTCATTTCTTGTCTGCTGCTGTAAATAGAAAAGGACAGATCCTCATGGAGGTACATCCCCCCTCCATGCAGCACTCCTATTGGGACTATTGCAATTTGCTGTTATTAGTAAGAGGGAGGAGAAGGGGGAGGATTGACTATTGTGTTGTCAAATGCATATGTGATGCTTTTCACACTATACAAAGCAAGGGTTACCTTGCTGCGCAAGTTATGTCACAGCCCTTGGGACACTTCATCTCATACTCTCATGCTATATCATTTGTTGATAACTTGTTGAAAATTAGTTTATTTTAATTTTAAATGACCCCTTAATGCTGTTCTCCCAAGGCTTTTAAAATGTGCATGCCAACTAAATATACAGCTTCAGTCCCTGCTCCAAAGCATCCTGAGAATGTCATCTCTTGGTGTAAGGCCTGGATTTTGCACAAGTGCTTTTAGCATCTTAAACCTGGAAAAACAGAGGGAGCCAAGAAGCTCCACTGAACAGCCATCTCCCAAGCTGCTTTGTTTACAAAGAGTCTGACACTATCCTCCTGCCTTTTCCCTCCATTGCCTACTTCCCATTTGTCACCTGCTAGCCTTGTGCAGGGAGTATTTGTCCCGTAACTTTATGTAGTGCCAGTCATGCTGTTTCTCTTTCTTTAAAAAGTTCCTTTTGCTAAATTGTTTAAAGAACATAAAAATTCTGTAAAAACACCACTTTTCTACCACCTAAACTGACTTTATGGATTACTAATTTAACAATTTTTTCAATTGTCAATTTTCCCCCAACACTTTTAATAATTCCTCAGGGACGGGTTAGATTATGCTTTGGTATCTGGGAGAGGAGTAGCACAGTTTGATTTCTGTTGCCATGTCTTTCTTATACATCTTTAGGTAGAGTGAAAGTGTGGTTACATTTTTTGTTAAAAGTTTTTATTTGGCATCTATACAGAGCTGCTTTTAAAGCAGTACATTAATTAGACAATGACAAGAATCAGAATAATAAACCATATTCAAAGCAGCCAACTCTGATGGTTTTGATTATAAATGCATTGAATGGATGCAGATCCTTGCTGTACTGATCTAAAACTAAAGCAAAGCCCTAAATTATGTAGGGGAAATAAAATTGATAGCAGTACCAGTGAAGTCATTCAGGACTACAGAAGAGGTCCTAAAATCTAGGAAACACCATGGTTGCATTGTGGCTGCAATACAAAATCCTTCTGTAAATCAGTAAAAAAAAAAGGTTTAGGAGTGCCAATACCATTACCACCACCTCCCTCAAGCTCATGAACACAGTATAACCTAGTGTTACCTGATTAGCCACCATCTTGACCTAAAATGTCATTTTATTTTAACTATTTACACTACAAATATCACATTGGAAAATGAAAACAAGTAAATTTGCTATGTTGCTGTTGGCCTGCTTTGAGCTTTGTCCTTCAAATTATGCACTAAGTGCCCATTGTCACCCTCAGTGCCTCTGCTCATTAAGACCCATTCCTAAAAGGTCATAAGTAACTTTGAATAATCCCAGAAATGTAATTTAGAAGGAGGGGAGAAGGAATATTTGAAGCAGCAGTTATTTACAGAGCCATTTACAGAGCAAAGTTCAGCATGTGCTGCTCTTCCTTTTCCTTGTGTGTATAAAATGCTAGCCAGGGGAGGGGAGTGGCCCATGGCCACTTCAGTAACCGCAACCATGAGATACACCTTCAAAACATAAACAAATAAAAAAATAGTTGGTTCATCAGATTCTCAGCAATTTTTCTGCTAGTTTATCCATAGGCATCAGTAAGCCCCAAAGAGGTAGAATAATAAATGTGTGACATCACCATTTCATAGGTCCTGTGTGGCCTGTTTCATGGCTCATGACTGCCAGCATGATACCTTCAGGCCTCATAAAGCAAGCTTTTAGCCCAAAGGAGAAGTCTGCCAGAACAGTCCCAGGAAAAGGGGACTGGCATCAGCCTGTCCTAAGCTTTAGAAGGGGAATTCCCAACACTGCACACCCCAATCATGTCCAGGTACATGTCCATGCTACAGGGGCCTTTCTGCTTTCTGCTTGTGAGTGGGGAAGCACCTCAGTCAGTAGCAGTAGCAGTCCTTGTATGCGCATGGGTATTCACACGTGTATCCCATTCAAACCCTTACTGTTAGCTCTATAACCTCATGCCTGGCAGAGTATTGGCAGTTTTACTGTTGAACCAAACATTTGAACCTTGAGCAAACCAGTCTCTCTGCAATACAGCCTGAGCTTGCTCTTTTTCTTTGTCTTAGTTAATAACAACATTCTTCTCTTTTCTTGCCCTTACTTTTTTTGTCACATAAATTTCTATAGGAGTTTCGTTTGGTTTTTTTATTGAACTGGCTGGTTGTTTTTAAAAATGATTGCCCAGTAAATTTTGCTCAGCTGAAATGCTTTAAAAAAGAAGATGTGGTAGCTTGACATCCTTCTCAGGTACCAGAGCTGCACCTCTGCTGCCTTTGCCTAATTCACGATGCCCTCCTCAGGGCCATCACAGCCAGCAGAGGCAAGGACATCTCATTTTAAAATCTTGTAGGTAGTTGCTAACAGGGAAAGTTGCTGCTGCCCAGCATCAACTACCTTTAAGCACATGAAATAGCTCATCACTGTGCAAATATTTAAAGCTGAGAAAAGCAGAGCACTCATCAGGAAAACAATCCTTTTCCTACAGAACAGGGGCAGGGTCTGATCCTGACTTACATGCTCTCAGGTCATTGCATATGTTTGCACTTCATTCTGCACTGTGAACATATGCAGCCATATGAGATGATTGACATGTATATGTGCAGATACCTGTAGCTCCAATCACTGCCATATTCTGGACATTCAGCATATTTTCAGAGAGCTATCCACATTAGTAATATGTTTATCTGCTGTGTTATGTATTTGTATCACACCAGCAATGGTTCACACAGTTATTCTGGTACCTTTTCTGAGCATTCAGCAGCCACT